CGTCTAAACTTATTCATACTAAAGCCAAGGATATGCTAGAATCTTTTGTGATTTCATGTTGTTTTTCAAAATGCTTGATTTTTCTTTTCACTTGATAATAAAATTTACAAATGTAATGTGTAATTCAATGCATTACTTTGCAAAAGTAATTGTAATTTAATGCATTACTTTGATAAATGCATGTGATTGTAATTGTAATTTAATGCATGGTTTTGTCAAAGTAATTGTAATGTAATGCATTACATTGCAATGTAATTCGCCCCATGCCTGTTACAAATAACAATGGATTTTGACCACAGGGTGTGACGAGCGGGGTTTCTGGAAACCCCTGCTTCTACATCCCGAAAACAAAGTCCATTGTTATTCATTACAATAGAAATTGATTATTTTTTAAATAGCATGAACATAAGAAATTACTAATAGTGTTCACTACAAGTTGTTTCAAGACGTTAAAAAACACATTTTAGGAAATTCAAATAGTGAAAAAAATATTAAGCATCTATTTTGAATAAAAAAAATCCTTCAATGGAAAAATAATTTGATTGATAGCGTTGAAGTACTAAATAAGATTGTTCGCGATTTGCGAGAAAAAAATCCTGACTCCGACAAAAAACCATACCCCCCAATCCCCTTTGAAGGTAAAAAGGTTGCTCCCTTAATACTCCTTTACTTGAAGGTAAAATTTTTGATCCCAGTCATATGTCTTTATTCTAAAGCATTGATCTTAAAAAAAACAGGGATTCTAACTCCCGGACACCCCCCCCCCCTCCCCCCCCCCCGGATCCCGGTCGTCGGGTTTCTAATCCAGACACACCTATCCCTCAGTGTGTCCGAATATGAATGTTTGTTTATTCTCCAGAAGTGGGGAGGGCTTTTTTTTTTTTTTAAACCGTAACATAAAAAATACATATATGATCATTACCTTCATTAAACTGATACAGGTAAGTACTTTGTGTTATGATATTGCCTTTATCTTTAGTCTCTTCTACCAAATCCAACGCCTGACTCAAATTGTCGTCCGTCTTATACCCGTCCATATTGACAACTGCATACAAGGAGCAGAATGTATTTTTTTTGGTGATAAGAATGCACGAAACGGTCAACCTTGAACTTCTGATCCATATTAGCACCAGGATTTAACGGGAATATGCAAAACAGCAACTATGACATTTGTAAAATCTAAGTAAGGTTACTAGTGGGGTTTCATGTAAAAAAAAAATATTTTTCTTATAATTCATGGTTCGATTTTGTCAATAAATATGCTATTCATTCTTTTTCATTTAATAATCAATGTTAACAAATATAGGGTTTAGCTTTGGGTGTAAGTTAGTTATACACCTAGGGATACGGCGTGTCTGGATAAGAAACCCCGACACACCTATCCCTCGGTGTATAACTATTACTTCTATCAGTAAAGCTCTTGTGTATCATTTGTAAAGAAAACCTTTTCAGTTTCAAACTTTAGGTCATGTATTGGAATTAAAAAAATTTCATGTACCGATTGTTCATGAATTTGGTAATATCTTATGGTTAGACAACAGATACTTACGAACTCGTTATTATATGATGCCATATAAGACAATTTTTCTACAATGAATTAACAGGAATAAATGAAGCAGGAACTGTTGAAATTTCGGAGCACGCCAGTTCAATCATGGTATTGTTTGGTTGTGTTGCTGAGTCTTAAGTTGTGTGTGTACCGTTTTGTAGTACTTTATCATTGCGCACCTATGGCATCTTCTGTCCAAAATAGCAAATAAACTCATCATAGATACCAGGCTTTAAGTTTTGTACGCCAGACGCGCGTTTGGTCTTCAAAAGACTCGTCAGTGACGCTCAAATCAAAAAAATTTAAAAGGCCAAATAAAGTACGATGTTGAGGAGCATTCCAAAATAGCAAAACATCATATCTAAGGTCAATTTGCCTGAGAAATTGCGATCTAATCATTTATACAATTAAATAATTCATGAACTGGAAATTGGTAAATAAAATATTAGTATACAGAATAAATAGCAATAGCTACTGTGCGGATTTGACCATTTATGAACTAATGGTCAATCAACAGCCATGCCGAACCAGTGTTTGTAAGATATATGTGCGCACTATACGTGATGTGGACAAATATTTACCTAGATGTATGCAGGATAAAGAAATCATGATACTGCCGAAGTATGGGTACTGGGCGGAACAAACTGTTATGTCGACGCAGTGATAATTATATAACTAAACATGTTTCAAAATATATTCATGAAATAAAAAAAAATATATTTGTGATATTCAAATCACAATCCAATTAGATCTTAATGCATACAAAATTTCATAAAAATCCAAAATACAACCAAATGAATTGACTTTGCAATATGGACAATTCCTAAACTAGTTGCTTTACAAATAATAAAGTCATAAACTGCTTTTGCGAAATACCATTTTCATAAAATTCCAGGAAGTGTAATTTCATACTTCAAAATTAATCCCTGTTAAAGTGTTAAATTTAGTCAGCGTTTTAACTGATTTATGATAAATATATCATTACTGTAAATGCCTTTAAGTAGTAATTCTATTGCTATGAACAACGACACGTCAAGTTAGGCAAACGCTTTATAGAATTGAGAAATTTTAAGGAAAAGAAAATTAACGCCAGGAAAAGAAATGTCATAATTTTGGTATAAAGATAACCATGAGAACTTGTAGTATCAAAATAACGATATTTGATAAAACTTAATTCAAGTGAATAAAAAAGTCATCCGAGATACCAAACTTATAATTTGGTACGCCAGTTAGTTATATATTTCCAATCGAACTAATGGTATTCCCTATCACACAAGGATATGTACATTGTACTCAAATGCCCTTTCCCTACTCAAAAAGTAAAATAACAAAAACACCGAACTCCAAGGGAAATTCAAAACGGAACGTCCTTTTTAAAATGGCAAAATCAAATGCTCAAACACATCAAACGAATGGAAACCAACCGTCATATTCCTGATTTGGCATAGGCATTTCCTTATGTAGAAAATGGTAGATTACATAAAAATTTTTCAGACTGTTCAATATAATCCTTATTATGGTACAAATTTCACATATCTACCTAAATTCCACAACCAAGTTTTTTAGACACGCCGTTTTTTTTCATTGTCAGTGGAACCTTCAATATAAATAAATGTGTGAATATAACTATTTTAAATGTTTGTAAATTCAGATTAAAAAATCATAGGAAAATGTTTAAACAAAAATTATTATCTGTAATAACTCATTAAAGATAACAGGCTTATAGTTAATACGCCAGACGCACGTTTCGTCTACATAGGACTCATTGTTGTCATACCTAAAAAAAAACAACAGTTGAAATGCCAAAGTAATTGCGAAGTTGAAGATCATTTAGAACCATAAGACCTTAAAAGTTGTGCCAAATCTGGCTAAGGCTACTCATGCATGTCGGCAGAAGACATTTAACGAAAATAACCACATCAACGATTTTTCACGTCAACAGTGGCATCGAACCAGTGGTGACAGAAAACTAAAAAAAAAACGGTCTCATAATTTGATACGTCTTCATAAGAATCATCAGTGTCATTTACGAAGTTGATGAGCATTGAAAAACAAAATTTCTGATAAGTTGTGACAAACAAACATTTTACTATTTTTAATGACTTGAAGAATATGGCGTTTTGATTTTTGTACAATATGCAATCTTCTCGATTATTTGAATAAAACGTTTAAATCAGAATAATGTTTATTAGAATTGGTCGCCCGATTTTGTGAATTTAATAGAGCTATAAACAACTGCCATTCAGGTGGGAGGTAGGCTAGATATAAAACCAAGTCTAACCCACCATTTTCTTCAGAGAATGTCTGTACCAAGTCAGGAATGTGACAATTGTCTTCTATTCGTTTTGCTGGTTGATATGGTCGATCGTTTGATTTTGTCTGGCTTTATGGACCTTTTTGGTATATATAAGTAAGGGATCTCAGTATAATAGATCTAGAGTCATTCTATTCCTAGGAGATCAGCTCAGGTTATTAGGTAATTTACATTTAGTACATAGCAGACGCCCTTAATTCATTGAGTAATATAAAATGTATAACAACAAAAAGTGACTTATCGGAAATCATTGAGTAATATAAAATGTATAACACCAAAAAGTGACTTATCGGAAATCATTTAGTAATATAAAATGTATAACAATCATTGAACCATAAGGGGAATGGCCTCTTATTTCTTTTAAAATATTTCTTTTTTCCTATATGGTATTGAAAAAATTAAATTTTTTTTTATATTTATGTCCTGATAAAAACATCAGCCCCTCCTTCAAAACAGGTGTATGTTTGGTCCCGAATTATCACGCAATATTCAAATACAACGAGATAAACTCAGGTCGTATTAAGATGAATAACTTTCAACGAATCATTCTGTCATTGAATAATATTTTACTATCAAAGAATAAGCAAAAAAAAAAAAAAGTGTCCTGTGAAAAGGGGGTCCAATAGGACACATTTTTTTCTCACAAAAAGCCTATTTAAAAATATCTGCTGTTGTGAATTAATGTCTACTTAATCAGAACATGCTTGTCGAACAAAGCGAAGTTCAGGCATTTCTTACTTTATCTATCAAACTACATATACATGAATCACAACCCTTTATCTAAAATCAAAGTAAAACTCTTTATACTGAATTCAAGACCTTTATTTAGAAAAAAAACACGTCAACCTCTGTATGCATGAATTTCAACACCTTCGGGTACCTCTGTAAAAAGTTCAGCCAACATTAATAACTTACCCGGAAGTAGATTGAACGAAATAGTCCTCCTTCTGGCAAAAGTAGTCGGTTTCCTAAAAGGCAGTTGATTGTTTTTAAAAGCAATAGATAAAAAATTAATAATATATTTCTTTGCCTAGAATGTCATCTTTTCAAACAGAACATGTTTTTGTCATCAAATGTAGGATCTATTTTAAACAACACTTCAAGTGAAGTATTTATTTTGGTTATGTAATATTTGCACACGAATCGAACGATTTTATTTAAGTGATATATATTACACTTAAATAGTAACCTTATGTGTAAGGCTAAACTTGCTCAGATCTATGCTAATATTTATGTACTACTTTAATGTGAAGAATTTAATATGAGAGGTAAGAATTTACGCAAATTCGTTGTGATTAAGTTAACTTTCGATTTCAAAATACATTGATCTATTTAACGGTAAGTAAACACTATACTGAAAGAAGGTGTGTGATGATTTAAACAACAAAAAATAACTTGAAAATTATTTACTATGCTCCTCTTCTTGCCGACTTGTTCCTTTATTCTTATGAAGCGGACTTCGCACAGGAACTTCTAAGGAAGAACGAAAAGAAGTTAGCACTATCCTTTAACTTCACTATATAGATGATGTTCTCTCACTAAATACTTATAAATTTGGTGACTATGTTGAACGCGTCTATCCCATCGAACTAAGTCTGCCTCATATCTTGACTTACATCTAGAAATTGACCATGAGGATAGGTTGAAAATAAAACTCGACGACATGAAAGAGATGATTTCAGCTTCCCAATTGTGAACTTTCCATTTCTATGTAGCAACATTCCAGCAGCGCCTGCATATGGAGTATATATCTCCCAGTTGATACGATATTCTAGGGATTGCATTTCCTATCATGACTTCCTTGATAGAGGGTTGCTGTTCACAAGGAATCTATTAAACCAGTGAAGTTGAAATCATCCCTTCGAAAATTTTGCGGACGCCATCATGAGTTGGTTGACCGTTATGGAATATCTGTTTCACAGATGACGACGGATATGTTCAACTCCAACTATAATCCCGTCCCCTTTTCCCCGAATGTGACCTACCGAATTAGACTTATCACCGGGTTTGAACTTACATGAGCAACACGACGGGTGCCACATGTGGAGCAGAATCTGCTTACCCTTTCGATGCACCTGAGATCTCCCCCAGTTTTTGGTGGGGTTCGTGTTGCCCTGTCTTTAGTTTTCTGTTTTTATTTTGTGTACTATAGTTTGTCTGTTGGTCATTTTCTTTTTTAGCCATGGTGTTGTCAGCTTATTTTCGACTTATGAGTTTGAATGTCCCTTTAGTATCTTTCGCCTCTCTTTTTTTATCTTTCTTACTACGTATGATTCAATCGGATCTATTTTCCTGTGTGGACAACACCAATGTGCATCAAAACATTGTTTCACAATTTATACTGTTTCAAACTTTACATTTCGAGGTTTATCATTTCATATTCTAAAGGATTAGATTTCGTACACCACCTTATGATAAGAATTGTCTAGATGTAGTTCCCCATGATTGTAGCTTGCCAAATGTCAGTTTAGCTTTGTTATTACTTTGCGTCCGTAAACTTTTTCAAATATCTTCTCATCTAACACTACGGAACCAATTGAATATTAAACTTCACAGAATTGGCCTTCACACATAATTATATTGAGACGAGGTATATTTAGCCAGTGGTGTCAATCAGATGTGGATTCTTCAAAAAATTCTAAAGATCTACTCCAAAGTCTTCAATCACAATCTTAATAATTTTACTGTTATATCAAAACCTGATTTTTCAATCTACGCTTTAAATTTTTATTCCCCATGCTCAGTTGAAAGATTGACTACATGGTTTTTTTTTAAAAAGAGCCTTTTCTACAAAACATAGGAAACATAGATTCAAATTCCTTGTTTAAGGTCATGAAAAATATCACTTGTAAAGAACAATATTGATTACCACACAAAACACACCGAAGATAATATCATAAAAATGTAAGACTTTTGATCGTCAACATTTGTTGTGTTTCGTGGATTCATATGTCAGCAGACAGTCGGTATTCCAATTGTTACATTTGTCATTTCGGGTTCTTTTATAGCTTGATATGCGGTATGGGTTTTGATCATTGTTGAAGGCCGTACGGTTACCTATAATTGTTAATTCTTTAGGAGTTCATGCGATTCCCTCAATTTTTGATTGTTACCCTGATTTGTCTCTTCATAACCGATTTACGAGATTTAAACCTCGGTAAACTACTGTTGCTCTAATTCAAGCAATGTTAGTTCATGAGTTTGCAAGACTTTTATCTTTCTTAGGCTTCTTGTAGATTGGTATCCTTTGATTACAAGATTGAGCGAAATGATATAAGAATTCGTTTATTCATTTTAAAGTCTAAGAGAGCCCAAAAATAACATTATCACAGAGATTGCTGTTCCTGAATGTTGAGTTTGATTTATCTGAAAAAGATTACATGGTCTGACTATTTTTTGTTATATTCAGTTTACGACACTATTGTAAGCCTACTTAATTTCGCGGATACTTTTTTTTCGCGTTAAGCTATTTTCAACCGATTTCGCGGCGATTTGTCTCTGCGATTTTCTAGCTTTGTCTTTTTATTTATGTAAGAGAAGATCTTAGTATTTACATATTTGCAAAGATCAGTTTTTTCTCGAAAATAAGTTCGTTTACAGTACCTGTATAACAACCTGAAAAGAACATGCAACATATATATCAGGGTCTAGAGGGGTCTTCATTTCCGTATTCTTTTTTTAGCTCACCACGCCCAAAGGCCACAGTTAGCTTTTCTCATCACTTGGCGTCCGTCGTCGTTCACTTTTTCAAACATCTTCTCCTCGAAAACTACAGGGCGGAATTAAACAAACTTGGCCATAATCCTTATTTGGGTATGTAGTCTGACTCTGATGACTCCGCCTGCTAATTAACCAACATGGCTAAAAATAAAACATAGGGATTAAGTGCAAGTTTTGTCTATTATCTTGAAAACCGCATAAATGTTCAAAATGATGAGATCTACCTACTGTCCATTTACATCAAACCCGTCAGACGACTTCTTATACGTGTTATTGCCTTTAAATGACGAATTTTACAATTTGTTTTCCATTTTTACCTATTATCTTGAAAACTATTATAGAGAGAAAATTTAAAGAGAACAAATTATCAGCAAGACTAAATCTATGAATAATATAAGTCAACATGACCGAAATCGTCCTCTGATTCCTTACTGGATATTGAATGTCCCTTGGTATATACATCTTCCTCTTTTGGGTCTGTACTAAAGTAAATTATGTGATGTAAAACAACCATTTTTGTCAAATAGTTAAGATGTATCTTTACATATATTTACGATTATTTGAATCTGCTGCATTGCTGGTGAAAGACCCCTGGTGAATCCAAATTATAAAATCCGAAAGCATATCCAGTTTTGATATGACTCTATTGTGGATAACTTGTTCGAAAAAATGTCCCTACAATTGATGAGACGATAATAACTCTATAGAAGAGGGACGAAAGATACCAGAGGGACAGTCAAACTCATAGATCGAAAACAAACTGACAACGCCATGGCCAAAAATAAAAAGACAAACAGACAAATAATAATACAGATGACACAACATAGAAAACTAAAGACTAAGCAACACGAACCCCACCAAAAACTGGGGTAGATCTCAGGTGCTCCGGAAGGGTAAGCAGATCCTGCTCCACATGTGGCACCCGTCGTGTTGCTTATTTATATAGTATTTTATCATCATTATCTTTTCTTACATACTGCATAAAGATTTTTAAACTGAAAGAGGTTTTTTTCTAAGCCAGTAGATGATTAAATACTGTTACCAGGTGGAACAACAAGCTCTCTTCGAAATGTTCAACAGAGAGTACATATGCATTAGAAATTGCTTAGCATTGCTTTTTTTCTTCCATTTAAATCTGAATCTGTACTTTTTTTTAATACTTATATTTGGCCATTTTTCAGGTTTTGACACCTTGCATATTGGGCCACAAAATTTTGACAGTTTTTGCTGGGATGGTTGTTCCTGCAGCATATTTGATAAATTCCATCATAATACATGTAATTAGTAGTTGATTTTTTTTTTCTTTAGTCGTTGATGCTCTTTGGTCATTTTGATTTAGATTTTATATTCCTTTTTATTGCTTTACTGAATGCACTTCGGAAACATTTTTCTCATCCATTTTATGCATACTGCATTGCTATTAATTTTATTGTCAATTTGAAGTGGTAGATTAAGCTGGACTGTGCACTGGGAGATAAGTTCAGTGCGTTCTTTCTAAATGTCTGAGTTGAGCTTACTTATAAGTTTATTGTTTGATGTGCAGATATTATCAATCTTCGATGTTGATTTTCCGTTATATGGTAGGAGATCTTCAGCTTCTAACTGTTGTAATCTATCGTTTTTTCAAATATTATATTATGTTGGCTTTGTCTTGAATTTCATAATTTCTATTTAGATCTCTGCCATATAAAAAAAGCACATAACATTATTTTTGCCTCTGAAAATTTATATTTATCTAAATTTGTATTGAATGTACTTTATTCCCGAGTATGAGGTTATAGTTCGAAAATCTGCAAATTTTATCTGTATCTAAATTTAGATTACTTTATTCCCGAGTTTGACCTCATAGTTGGTAAATATGCATTGATAATACAAATTATTCGGTCATTGGTTTGAACAGAGTTAATCGTTTCCATCTGGTAACTTTCTTCATTATATCATTCCATTAGTGTTTCATTTAATGTCAATACACGACTGTATTTGGAACTTGCAAATTTGCAAATTGTTGAAATGTATCATGAAATAATTCATTAAAGTTTTATATTCTCGATATAATTCACAAAGATTCCCTTTCTCAAAATCCAATAACCAATCATCTTGAGCACATAAAATTGCATCCTGCGATTTCAGCAAATTTGTTTAGATATTTTATATTTGTCTTAAATTACCTCCTCAGTGTTAAATGTAACTGTACGCGATAAAAGTCCCGGACATGATAAAATGTGAAAAAATTCAAACGGGAAAACTAACGATCTAGTTTATAATCAAACAATTTACGAAAAAAAAACACAAATATAACAGACATGAACCAACAATCACTGAATTACAGGCTCCTGACTTCGGACAGGAACATAAATAATGTGGTTTGGTTAAATATGTTTGTGAGCGCTCATCCCACTTAACCTAGGACAGTGGTGTAACATCACAACATAACAACAAACTGTAAAAAACGTTTTAAATGGCTTAGCTCAATAGATTGGTAATAAGCACAAAAACAACTAACATAAAAACAATAGAAAAGTAGAAACAAATCACCGAGATGATGGTACTCGCAGTTGCTTAAAGCTAGTGCAAAGCCAATTACAACTAATAACTAAATCCTGTTCTCCCATCAAGCAGTACTCATCCAAGAGATTTATAATAAAAGACGTCATAAACAGAATGAGAAAAGCATTTGCTATGCCAAAATATTAGGAAACGGTACCAACAGATCATAAGTACGCATAGCTATACAGCAAAATCTATTTTGTTGTGTTTTATTTTTTTTCGAACACAAAAGCAATGTTAGTATCAATAAGACACAATATCTAAAGATTTTACTACGGTGTTAAATTATTCACCTTGAAGAATACGTTTTTCAAAGGACCAAGGACTTTAAATGGATCATATCTGAATTAACGGGCCCTATAAATAACATCACCGTAAAAAAAGTCTGTGATATCCCGATTTATTAAGAAATCTAAAAGTATAGCCACAATTACAATTTATTCTATGTATCTATGAAAGAGTTAAGTAACACATTTATTAAGTGGTCACGAAATCCCTAACTTAATAATTTAACAGTTATACATTGATTGCGTTCATTGATACCTATAACGTCATTACAGACACGAGCATAGCGATCAAGTTGTGAAATATACACACCGTAAAAAGAGGAGGCTAGAAGAACATCACCGTCAAAAAAACGAAAATTACTGAATAATAATAGTAAACGAAAAATCATCATTTTTGTAAAGAGTTTCCCTTGTGAAACTGAATTATCCAAATCTTGAAAAGGACCATTATTATTAGATTTATTCAAAGTATGTTGTTTTTTGTAAATTTCACCGTTTAATTAGAAAATTCTTTATTATTCATTTCAAGCAAAAATATCATCTAGTTAACGGTAATTGTTATTAAAATTCTCAATTAAAATAAATTCAGACGTATCTTTATTGAGTTTGGTCATAATCTGTGATTCATGACAATACAGGTACAGGTCTGCTATTAAAAAGGTAATTGGTGTTGATAGGAATACCTGCAACCATTTCAAGTTAACATTTTACCTAAATTATTGTAAGTCTATCTACTAGTGTATCAAGAGAGGTTTAAAAATCTGGTCACAAGGTGCAATGCCAAAACTTAATAACAAACCATCATTAAACTAGGAGTATTTCACAGTCACTGCCACAATATAATCGAAATTCCTGACATATTGGGCAAGTAGGTCATTAAAAAATAGTAAAACAAAATTCTATTCTATATAAGAAGTTTAGTTTTGTTTTTATAGTTTCTGTAGTCATTATAATTGATAATAAAAAAATAATGATCTTTTTGCAAATTATTGCCAAGTGAGTAACATGCGAACGTATTTATATGAGATTCAAATGGCTGCTGCCAATTCTGGAGTGCCGATTTCTTTGAATTTATCATACAAAACCGTCCTAAAACTTTCTTAAAAACTACGGTATATTTTATAAAACTATACTTATAAAGAAGGTAACATGTAATAAACAGATTGAAAAATCATTGTAAGTGGATTAAAATCTGTATTAAATTCTAAGACTCTTTTTGACGTTTATTGGGAATAATTAGCTAGATATCATGAATGATTTGAAACTTTTAAAAATCTTAATAGTGCTTCAAATGTGTTTCAGATTTACCATAATCTAGATAAATGGCAGCTCTTGGTGATTCGACTGCAGTCAGTAATATAAGCTATAGTCCTGAGAGACAATGGAAGCTTTTAGCATTTGGGAAAAGATATCATGCATGATTTCTCTACAGAGATGTTGAAATGGATAGACAGTGGGTTAAAGTAACAGTCAACATATTAGAGTCTGCCGGGTTTATTTGTTGGTACCGTGGCCGAGATTTTTTAGCGAGGCATTCGTATGCAAGTACAATAATAAAAAATCTAGAACAAGCAATGAAAATTATAGTGATTCTGAGTAAGACATTTGTAGAAAGTCCTCGTTGCAGATACGATTTAGATTTAGCACTTGAAGAATGTTTGAATCGAGGTGAAGATGGCGAAACTGGTGTACTTATTCCTGTAGCATTGGACAACTGTACCATACCTAGAATTCTAAAACCACTTAATGTGTTGGACATTCAGGATAACGAAAGTACATGGCTTTCTAAATTAGTCAGAGCTATAGAAAGCAACGATAAATTTAGTTCTTTTGCCGATGATAACACCCGAAATGCAGAAAACGGAATAGATGAGGCAGCTGTATCATTACGCCAAAAATTGCATACAGCACCAGTTCACGAAGTCTTTTCTTTTTTAGCAAAACCGATAGCAAATGATCTGTTACATTTTTTGTCACAACACTCTGACTTAAGATTTTTTTCATCTGCGATGAATACGTGTGGTATTTCATTTAAAGAGAATCGGGTATCATTAACTATGAAAACATTTTCACAGTTTACTGACAAGCCATATCAAATAGCACATTGCTTCAAAGAATTTTCTAAGAACTTAAACATTAAACAAATAAGTTTAATACTGGAAAAGCAAGCCAATATTCTACACAGAGGTGATATCAATGAAACAAAAGAATTCAATGAGTTAGTAAGATGTGTTCTGAAGCCACCTAAGGAACAATTTTGGGGTATTATGTGGAAGATGAAAGGAACTCAAACTAAGACTATCCGAAACGAATGTAGAAGTTTAATTCATGATGCACTGATAGAAAATCAAAATGTACAAACAGTTTCCCATCCGAAATTCGTATCTCTAGATGCAAGAATTGAGACTTTTGTTAACTGGCCAATAAATAAAGAACCAAAAAAGGAAAGTATAGCAGAGGCTGGCTATTTTTATGACCCGAAAAACACCATTCTTCGATGCTTTTATTGTGATGGTGTTTCGTGGGATCTAAAACCTGACGAAGATCCGTGGGCAAGACATGCAAAGTGGTATTTTAACTGTCCATACGTACGTGCTTCTAAAACTGAGGAATTTATAAATAAGTGCAGATTTACAAAATTGAAACGAAATGATGTTTACAATGTGGAATATATAGAATGTGATAACCGCTTAAAAACATTTGATAACTGGCCAATTGAATCATGTCCTGATCCATGTCATTTGTCAACAGCTGGGTTTTATTTTACACATTTAGAGGACAAGGTTGTGTGTCACCATTGTGGTTATGGTGTAAGAAACTGGGAAAAAGATGATAATCCTTGGTATAAACATGCCTGGTGGTCGCCCGATTGTTCTTTTCTTCGCCGTTACAAGAGTAGAAATTTTATTGACAAGGTTCTGGAAGAAAGAGCAAAGTTAGAACCTTTGGACATGTGTATTTTAACATATTATCTTGATATACGAGAAAATAAATAAAACATTTCTTTTTCTTTTTAAATTAGAAAGCATAATTTTTAACTACTTCTAGAGACATTTTGTCTTGTAATTTATACAATGTATGTATACAATAGTATTAATGGAGCAGTCTTGATAAATGACAATATCACTAATATCACAAATATGTTTGTCTCCAATGTGAATAAAAGGAGAATAGTGGCGTACACATCAATGAGACAACACCTACGATACAAGTAATCAAAAGACATTTAGAAGGCAACCAACTGTTTATACAATATGGTAACTCAAAATCGACCCATGTCTTACAAGTTGTAACTCTGAACAGAAACAGTCATAGATCAATCTGCCATTACCTGAATTTTTAAAAAGAAAAAAAAAGAAAACATGAATACTATACAAAAATATACGAAAAGAAACGAGTTTTCATTCCATATTGTTTTTTTGGACGGTTATGTTCCTTTGGTCCCATCTGACGGTGTTTATATACCCTAACTCGTACGCTATGCCCATTCTGTTGTGACGTTATGGATTTCAATGAACGTAATCGTTAGCACAAATTACTTAAAACCTTTACTAAATTTTTTTATCAGATACAAAGATTTGGTGAAGATGTTCATCTGTACTTCTAGAAAACTTATAATAAACGGGATATTACATCCTAACTTTTACGGCTATTTGCTTAAAAAGTCGGAAGAAATTTACTTTTTAATCAAATGGTATCATATTATTTATTTGTTCGTTTTCTGTCAAAATCTAAATCTACTGTGAATTGTCCTCCTTTTCCTAAAGTTTAAAGCAATTCATTATCTGCTGAGATACGATATGCAGTTTTGTCGAGCCTGCGAGACATTCCTTAATCGGCGTTGGCGTCGTCAATATTTATGTTCAGCCTGTGGTTATTTTTTTTTAAAACACCAATAAATTTGTAAAACCTTTATGAAATTTTACAGAATATAGGCAGAATCTTTTTTATGATCAAAAGAGTATCCAGAGCATAATCATGAAAATTAATGACAGAAATAGTATCTCTCTCTCAATAAATTGTAAGCTTCCGTCGGACCCCTGCTGGGAGGTCCCTTGCCCTGTACCCGCTGGGGACCCACAAACCCCTCGCTTATCGATTTTTAAGTGTATGCCCGAACGTCGGCGAGGGTTTTGAGGGTCCCCAGCGGGTACAGGGCAAGGGACCTCCAAGCAGGGGTCCGACGGAAGCTAATGATTTATTGAGAGAGAGATACTATTTCTGTCATTAAAACTCATCAATAGCAACATACTTTAAAGTCTAATTTCTTGATTTTTTCATGTATATTTTATTCAGTGTGTTGATTTGGAATCTAATGGACAATAGTTGTTACTATGAAATATGTTTAAAAGGAGATGTGAGGTAAAACAATCAATCGACCAAAGATCAAAACCTTTCGTAATATAAAAAAAGCAAGTCTACATTTTCAATGGTGTCGTTCTTTCGATTATTATGACTTAATCTAGTTTTCTCCCCTTTTATGCCATTATTTCGTTAATGGACAAGTACATGCAATAATAAATTTTCATAGATAGTCAGGTGTGATATAAACATACTCAAAGGGTTCCGTGGAATCCTGTGTTTCGCCAGGGATTGCTGCTGTCTGTTAAACTATAAAATTTAAAAGAAATCAAACTTTTCTTTAAATGTTTTTCTTGATCTTGGAAGATAAGCTTCTGTCCAAGTTTCATAACAATCTTTGAAAGTTTACAATTGTAGCAGGTGAAAAATATTTAATTCAAACCGTCTGTTAATTGCCCCCAAAAAATGGTAAAATACTGAAATTAAAAAAAACATATAATTTTTAGACTAAAATTTCCTGACTGTTATAAAAGTTTTGAAATCATTTAAAAATAAAGGAATATATCTCCCACATGCAACGCTCTGATTCTTTGTCCGGAATTGGCTATACTTTAGATACGTTTTATTTTTGATCAGCTCTTCGAATGTTTTTATTAGGTTTTGGATTTTCAAATATTTCGGCCTCGAGCATCACTGATGAGACATTAATTGTCGAAATGCGCATCTGGTGCAAAAAAAAATCGTCCAGTTGGTGTTAACATTTTTACATAAAATTCGATGAAGTTTTGACAAAGTAATTGATGCGTAACAAACAGTATCTACTTGTTAACTAATAAAAACAATGTTCTTTTCAGTAAAATGCGGAAAAATTAAAAGTAAATTTTCATAATAATGCTCTGGATACTCTTTTGATCATAAAAAAGTTTCTGCCTATATTCTGTAAAATTTCATAAAGGTTTTACAAATTTATTGATGTTTAAAAAAAAATAACCACAGGCTGAACATAAATATTGACGACGCCAACGCCGATTACTTTTGTCTTCAATTACAAGTCAGTGGAGAAAGAACTACAAGGCTCATGTGCTTTTAGCCAGATCTTTTAATTTATTTAGATTAAAATATTTTTTCTCCAAAATTCATGTGTACGCCCGGGCGTTTTGACGTAAACGTAGCTACGCGCCTGATTTTGGTCTGTTTGTTTTTTATAACAACACAATTTTCAAATAGTTACAGACTTTCCATAGAGATTTTTTTCAACCCGAAAAAGGTAACAGATGTATTGATATTCATTTGCATAAGGTCGATTTCTATCCGACCGTGACGCAGCATTATTGTTATTAGATTGATCTCTATTTATATCATCTGTACTGTTTTGTCTTTATATACAGCTGTTTTAAGAAACTTATTGTCTTTATACATTACAAATCGTAATGACTTAGTAGACGTACGAGAAGGAACAACACAGTCAGTTACATCTCTTCCCAAAGAATTAACTAAAACAAAATAAAAGGACTAACATCGATAAATGACAACAAGGCAACCACCGACATCTTACAACATATACATGTTTATTAATAAATCTTTTGATAGAAACTAATCCAATCCATCTACGTTGTCGAATTTCATTCATATTCATATTGATAAATGACATGTGAGTATACGTCAATGAGAAAACAACCCAACGATAGAGAAAACCAAACAACATATAGAGGACAACATTCAGTCTTCAACAATGGACAAAATAAAGAAGTACAGCCAAATGTTTTGAGAGTATTATAATTCGGATCTGTAAGATATTTTCCAACAAATTTCTGAGTTTTACACCTGGAGTGAAACATATACAAAAGTAATTGGCATTATGTTTTTATGTTGTGCTGTTACATCACTGTTCCAGGTTAGGGGAGGGTTAAGCGCCTGATTTTGGTCTGTTTGTTTTTTATAACAACCCAATTTTCAACACAGCCAGTTACATCTCATCGTCTCTGTTTAAAGGGGAAAGAAAATAAAAACTTTAATAAATAAAAATAAAATGGTGGAAGAAGAAAAATAGGAAAAATGCACCAATTTAAAGTTAAAACTCCATTACCAGATAGAATATTTATATCCATATATTACACAGAATTCAGTATAAATACACTGTTGTTATGTGACCGTTTACGTTTGCACAGGGTAAAGTTTCGCAATATAGGAGTCTATTACAAATAGTAAATTTATAAAAGAAAAAAAGAAAATCAGAAGGCCGTACCTTGACCTATAATGGTTTACTTTTATAAATTGTAACTTGGATGGAGAGTCGTCTCATTGGCACTCATACCACATCTTCCTATATCTATATATGTTGAATTTAATAAATGTATTGTAGTACCCCCATCACATGGCGGGTTTTAAATAATTTAACTAATTTCTACAGCACCTGCTTTGTTGTCGACAGCAAATTAACAAGTGCCCGATACGGGAATTCCAAAACTAAGATTCCACCTGTGAGCGCCATCTATGGCCGTGCCAAATATGGCAATGAGCTAAAGGCTGCAACACACACACAAATATTTGATTGAATTAAACCAGATTATTGAAAATATAAAATTTTGATAATCTCTATTAATTGCAATACTCATAGAAGAAGACCCTATATTAATACTGAACGAATAACAATGAGATGAAGAACAACGATCAAGAGTTGTTGACGTATTTTCTAAACTATGTTGAAGTCCTTCCTTTAATCACAAAGTGATTAAAAATTGTTCTAGAGTTGTCTCTCTTTGTCTGTTGTTAATTGTAATTCACAAATACCAACATTAAAATCCTACAGACTTTCTGTATACTATACTCATTTGTGTAGAGGTTCCATCCTCTGTTTTTCATTTATAACTTTTACAACTTATACAAAAACAATCATTCTAATTACACATACATTTTATTACACCAACTTGTATTTACATTTTCATGACTAGAATATACATTTTTACTTTGTGGCATTACTTTGGCTACAGAGTATTCTATGATATTTTGTTGAGGCGCCAGGGTGACTACCGATTACCTATACACAATGGCTATCAGCTGACCCATGTTGACATAGTGTCATAAAACCCCTGGTAGTTAAACACGGTTACACCACCACCTACCATGGGGAGTGACCGGGGAAAACACTCGTATTACCAATGCTCCAGTTATTAGTGCCCCACCTGTTGGCAGGTGTAGGCCTCTCCTCTATAAGATGAGGTGGAGGAGGTCCCAGAGTTACCCATCTGTAGACCCCACCGTTACCACTAACCACATTTTCCAAACCTGCAAATTGTAGAACTTGTCAGGCCCAGAGCAAGGGCCGAGTGAAATAATCCCCCAATCACTACCAGTCTCCCTGGACCGCCACATGAGAGCCCAAGTCAGCTACCAAATCTGACTTGGGTTCTCACCTCCACAAAATTTTAATTATTGAAGCATTGGAAAAGTTGAAATTGTTGAGCGTAGGAAAGACTCAACCCGCCCCCCCCCCCCCCCACCCCCCCCACCCCCAACCACACCCCCCCCCCACCCCCTTGTATATTATTTAAGAAAATCTGATTTCCGGTTTGTGATAAATGAGTTCCATCTGTTCTGTATAAAGACACTTCACTCTATTATTTGAGGCCTCTGACGAATCACAATAAGGATATTTTGACGAATCACGATAAAATTTTAACCAATTTGACGCTAACGGTAGCCAAAAATGACCGTTTGACGCCT